AAAAAAAAAAGTTACTTGTTAGAGTGGCTCTTGGTCTATTACTGTATTAGCTGTAAAATTATAAGTGGCATACTGACAATGAAGTCAATACGACATTCGGTCGTCGTGGATGAAGGTACGTATATATGTATTATAATGAACTCGTAAAAAAATCAGATGCAAAACTTCTTGAACCGAACTCTTCAAATTTGACGAACCGAACCGTACATATTTTTTTTATTTATGTAAAGAAGAAAGACCATTATTTACTACCGCTATTGTTCGTTTACATGGGGGAAGTCATAAAAACATCGGTGAATCGACAAAAAGGCAGCATCATCACATAATCAGAGGCGGCCATATTTTTTCGTCTCGGTTTTTGGATATCTCATTCCAAGAATTGCTCGAAAACGCGACTTTTTACTGCACTCTGCCGACCGATGTTTTTTAATATGTCAATTTTAAATTTATTATAATGAATTTTATTTTTGAAAATGTTAATTTAAGTGTACAGTTTATATACGCAACAGTGTATATAATCTTTTGTTTTTAACGACAATGGCATCATTAATATTATATATCTAATTATAACTTTATAACGATTTACATTGTTTAGAACTGAAGAAGAATCTGCTTATGCAGTTCCACAAACACTTGCTGAGAGGCATTACTACTATTAACTTGTTGCAAAATCAACGGTTACTTTAGTGATTTGAATATGTGCACAGTGCACATGTTGATAATTTGTTACAAAATTGGGCACATTTGTAGACAAAAACTCGTTACGTTGAGAGAAAGGATTGAGTGGCTGTTCTGCTGATCTAAAACTTTAACTACTCTATTATAAGTAGATATTGTTGTGATTTGGAAGGCAATATACATATTTAAAGATCTATTTTTTGTTTTTCAAATAACACAGGAATTTTTTTATTAAATATAAGAACGTAAAAAAATGATCCAATTTACTTTTTATAACGTTTAATATTAGAAACTGTGTACACTAGTCTAGGAGTTTCAAGGGGCTGATTTTGTGCTTACATCCTCGAAAAAATGTGTTGTTGCTTATTTATGTTCGACAAAGCTGCCGAATCATAAACTTATTCAAATACTCTTTCAGACTATATTAAAAATTGTCGCCCGATGATACATATTTACCATTTTTTAGGTGAAAATTCGGCGTCTTGTAATTTTTATTTGTTTCGGCATTTCCTGAATAGATGTGATGCATCTCTGACACTTTGGTTTTATGTTTTCTTAGAACGTAGTATCAAATATATAATATTATTCTCCTTTTTTTCTCTTTTTTCCGCACAAAACCACCGACGATGTGATTCACGAAATGTGCGGTATCGTTTTTTTCTCTTCGGCAGCCAAAACTATTTTTCATGCACGAACGATGCAATTATTCCACATTGTGTATGCCATATTCAATGATTTGGAAATGATTTATAAAAGATATTGATAATCGGATGTGCAACAAATCCGAATTTATGTTATTGCCAAATTCCAGCTTTATTTGGGCACATTTTTTTCACTGCTTTTTGACGTCTTTCGCTTTTTTTTCTATTTCGACAAAATACAGCCAGATGATATATGACAAATCGCAATATGTTGCTTTTCACTTGTTCATTTGGATTCGATCTTACATGAATAGATGTGGAACAACAGAAAAAAAATCAATTTGCTTATATTCGAAGTCGACCAAATAAAAACGAGCAACTATCACACTTTGTTTCCGATACGATACGATAGAAAGAAGAAAAAGAGCGAAATATTAATGTGCCATAAAAGTTGTGCGCCGAGAGAGATACTACTTTACATTTTATTACTTGCACAACTTGAAAATACTGCAACGTTTTAGAAAAAAACATCATTTTGTCATCACAGAATACTAATCATTAACGGATCTTTTAAATTACTTTTCAGAGGGTGAAGCTGAATGTCAACAAACTGTGATTCGTTTTGTTTAATAAAATATTTGAAACTTTGAACCACAGCAAGTAAGACCATTTTGAGCAATCAAAAAATGTAAGCGCATCAACGATCAGGAATTAAAATCTCCGTTTAAATTTATAACTTCAATTCGTAGTCTAATTGCAGCGAATAAGTGTTGAAAATTGAACGAACAAAAAATTATTATCAACACACTGGAAAGACTGTAGCAGGTAGCACAACAGACAAGACGTAAAAAAATAAACTATAAAAACATGAACACAAAAAAAATCGTCTGAATAGAAGATTGCTGTGTTTGTATACATTGCGATGTACGCATTAGCACAGGCGATTGTATTTTCGGCTTCGTTTGTTATTTTCTTTTATGCATTAGGTGTAGCTAGCGCTTCGTTTTATTGCCTTTTTCGTTGCCTATGTCCTTGCATGCAGCGTTTGTGTTTCTGTTGTGCTTTTGTTGGTGGTGGTGCTGGTGTTGTTGTTGTACGAAGTAAATCTTGTCTTATTATATTTTGGATTTGTGACCACATTTCTGTGCATAGAGAAAAGCGGCATATTTTCTGACTTGACAGAGATGTGTTCTCTTATTCGTTGTAGTCGTCGTCTTCGTCTTCGTCTTCGTAGTCGTCATCGCTCAGCAGTGTGTGCCCGAAAATTAACATGGTGAAATGCATGCAGAGCGAGTCATTTACTGGGCCATATGCATTTTCAGAATTGAAATGTGCATGTATCTTTTTTTCTTTCTGCTTTTTTTTTGTAACAAGTATTTTAGTGTTGTTGATTCTTTGTCGGCATCTTTAAAAAGCCAAATGTTTCTTTCACCGTATGCATTCGAATTTCAATAGGAAATATGAATTTGCACAATGATTGACAGCTTCATTTTAAGACCAACTTGACCGGAACAAGTTTTTTGATGTTTAACAATCAAAATTGAACTGTCGCACCGTTTTTTAAAATGTTTTTGAGTTGAAAACATGCAATTTTTTCGACTTTTTCTGGTTCTTCTTCAATTCGATTATTATATTGTACGACAGTTGAGCATATATTTCAAACTCAATAATTGAGTCACAATTATTGGACAATCACTTATCAAGCATTAAGTAGCAAACGAAATATGTTTTGTTCATTTGAAATGTCGCGTTATGTCAATATTGAATTAAATAACAAAATTTTTTGACAGCAGGCGCTACGTGTTAAAGAAAGTTGATATATCGACGAAAAGGGGAATTCATTCGAAATTCACACAAATCAAATGAGAAAAAAAATTCTAAAAATTTCATTCAATTCTGATATGATGCAGAATATTCGTTCTGCACAATTCACACATCGTTCCGTATATGAAATTGATTTATGCATGAATCTTATAGCTGAAATTCCTTTGGATAGAAATTCCTGTACACGATAATTATGGCACTTTCAATTTAAAATGAACATAATTTATCGAAATTCACATTTTCAAAATATTTCACAGTGAAGTCAATTAAAATTGAACTATTTTGATTTGAAATTAAAGATTCGAATGAAAGGAGTATGAAGGAACTTTAGTATTATGTTTATTTTACAATTGAACACCACCTGATTGAAACTACATGCTATTACTACAAAACAAACACAATGCTTACCCCATTCATTCAGTCAACATTGCACATACAATATTTTACTACAGAGATCGAACGAGAGCCGATTTTTTGTTGACTATTTCGATTTTTTTCATATTCCTCGCTGAATTTGATTGAAATGCTAAGTGCCAAGCGTTTTCAATACACACAGTCCATATATATATGTAACATAGAGAAGATTTGTTTTCAACAAGACATTTTAACTTTTTTTTCTCCACTCAACTTTGTTGTTGTGTTATTTCACTTCAACCACACACCAATAACAATAATAACTCTAAATCAATTTCAGTGCGATAACAAAAAAAAGGACGAATTCGCTCATTTTAATTTTTTGTGATATTGAATTTTGTACTCAATTAAAAACAAAACGAAGAAATAAACACAAAAACTAAAAATAACATAAGAGAGAGAGAGAACAGTCTCACAAAGAACAAACACCACCGAAATTAAGGTTATGTGCGTTTGTCTAATTTTTTAATGTATGAATAACAGTGAAGTTGGCGTCGCTTCGTATTTGTTTGGTGTTTTGCTTTTTTTTGTCATTCTGTTGTGTTCATTTCGTCCAATTCCAGTCACTGCATTGGAATGAAGTAATACATACACTAACAATGTATTCATACTGTTTCCAAAGCTATTGGAAACGTAATAGAATCATTTTGAATATTATATTCGTTTTTTTTCCTTTAAGACACAAAGTTTCATGCTATTTGAACAATCAAATGTGCAATATATTCAATATTGATCCTGTGATTTAAAATAAAAATACAGACATTATGCTCGAGCTATGCATATAGCGGCTGCTATTTCATAGGCGCTATTTAATTCGTGTACTGTGTGTAACACCGAGTAGGAATATCATAGCCTACTATTCTTTTGCACATTTGAATGTGAATACGAGAGAGATGTAGAAAATAATGCACCACATGCATAATCGCATTAAAACGAGTTAAATAGCGGCTATGAAATAGCAGTCGCTATATCCATAGCTCAAACCTAGTGTCTGTAAAAATATAAAAAATATACTACATATTGGAACTTTTCAAATAAATAGACAAACATTTTTAAATATTTTAAAATTTATTAAAAACATTTAATAATAGAGTAACGAAAACTATTTTATATGTAATTAGAAAAGTCTCCGCCGACATTAAATTGTGCCAATAATAATAATAATAATAATTTAACAATGGAATTTTCAATTAAACCATATTACGAATGATTAAGGAAAGTCACTATTGCAAATATATGTGATTGAGTATAATTTTAGAATCGTAATTGTGTGCATCAATGTCCGCATGCGAAGCAATTGCATATTTTTGAAAAACTTTAAATAAAGTCGATTTAATTAAAAATGGATTACGTTCGATGTTTTCTATAGACTTTTCTTCAACATAAAAGTGGATGATTTCAACAACAAATCTCTATCATATATGAACTGAACATGTCGCAATTTAAATGGCTGGATCTAAACCGAAGTTCATTTTGATAACATTTAAAAATGTGGAAACAAAAACAAAGCCAAGCGACAAATGTACTAAACGATTTGCCAATTCTCGCTGTTTAATTGACTTGTTAATGTTGATCGTTAAAATGACCACTGATAAGCAGGCAGCAGCTACCTGACAATCGAAGAGAGAAAAAAGAACAAAATAAAAATAGTAATATTAATAATATTACGAAAGCTAACGTCAATTGCAAAGATTTGTGGTTTGAAAAAGCATAATTTAGACTTGAGCGTTAATTTTTTCCAATGGTCTGCTCGAATGTTCGATGCCAAATGCCGAAATTATAACATTTACAACTGATATTAGAAACACTAAAACTAAAATAACATCGTTTAAAATGATCGCAGCGTTTTGCTCGTTTTTTCGGTTAATATTCAGGCTTCCAATTATTATGAATTGTATTCCGACAATCAGCTATTGTGAATACAAATGCGCGCATGTACACATCACAAATCGAGATCACATATACACATAGAAAATAGAATAATTTTTCGATAAGTTTTACAAATTATCCCCAGGTAATCAGGTGTGAGACATTTTGTTTTCTTTTCAAATAATAATAACCGCAGATTGAGAGCCTATGTTGATTTTAGTTTCATATGACAAATGTATGATTTCTGAAATTCATCAGAAAACTTCGAAAATGTTAAGACAAATCGGTGCAGAAAATTTGCTCAATTCGTACATGAATCAATACAAAAAATATGTTCCCGTTATGTACGGCATTGGCCGATATCAAGAAATAACGTGTAATCTTTTCGATTTCAAATTTTTATACCACTTTTTTTTTTTCAAATAATTGTAATATCAAAAGGAAGTTACAAACATGGCCATTGCGTTCGGCACTCAATTTTACATGGAGTATTGTCAGTCATGCGTAATAATTTTTTTCTCTCGCTATCAAACATTATATTAACAAGAAACCATTCAAGCAAACAGCTAGTTATTATCGCAAAACATATAAACAAACTGACTGCGTTGTAAAATAAAGTTTAATGAATGAATTCGCATTACGAGTAAGCAATGCGATATGACACTTGCGAAAAAGTTGTGAGATTGCATTGTTACGACTGAGTATGTTTATATTCGATTCGGTACATCTCATGTTGATTTAACATTATTATTCAGAAATGTCGTAAAAAAACACACAAAAAGATGTGCCCAACATAATGAAGAATGATTCATCCGTACAATTCAAGTGACACACACTGGCTTAATGACCTTTGAAATGGTTTATGGTTTAATTAAAATTCCTTTGTTTACTGTGCATGGCACACGGTGTTATTATTATTCACTTATTAGTTGAAATTTCATTTTCTACATTGATATTTTCCCATAGAATTTTCAGATGTTGTCCGATATATTGGTCACATATGCACACATAAATATTAAATAATTGATGGAAAGTGTATTGATTTTACGTATTTAAAGTCGATGTATTAAAAACTGATATTCGAATCTATCACATAAACAAAAAATAATATTATGTCACGGATAAAGAACTGGGTTACAAAGCGAATTTAAAAAAGATGAAAAAACCATAAGATCATACATCCAAACTTATGAATGGATCGGGACTTATAGTTGGATCGAAAGCGGAAACTAAAATATTGGTGAATACAATAAAAAATGCGAGAAATGATCGAAAATAATTGATTACATTGGCTGAATTATTGAATTTAAACAAATGAAGACGGCAATCTCTCATTAAACTCAAAGATAGATTTAGTATCCCCGAAAACACCTGTTAAAATGCAAATAAACAAACATTATTACCAACGCACAAATGCAAAATAAATTAATAAAGCAATGCAAACATTACATTATGTTTGCTATAAATAAGCAAAAAAACGCGACAAATAATGACTCAATATGAATAATTGCTTTTCACTACGTTTCATATTAAGTAAAATGGCATGTAAGTGAGTGAAAATCGTTGTGGGGGAGTTAAAAATCGATTGATTCAGTTTGGAACGGTTGCGTGTGAAAATACGGCGGTTTTGTTAAAAGAATGGCCTATTTTGGAATTTCACCGCTTGATAGATTTCATTTGAACTCTATAAATTATGTATCTGAACTAATTTCTACATTGCAATGAAATGAATCATTTGAAAATGAAAATTCAATGGTCTCACACCCAAAAAAAGTTTTATTTCAAATGCAAATCACCTGCATAATAATTGAGACGCTAATCAGTATCAGCATGAGTGTGTAGAATTCATGTTTTTGTCCAACTTGTAATATATATTTGAGTTGTGATGCATTTGCTGTTAACAGTGCTATATCTAGCATACCTTGAGCGATCGTTTTTTTGGTTGCATATCGATTTGCATCCATGGATTTCAGCTGAAAAAAAAGTTAGATGAATCAATTTTATTGTTATTATTTTGTCAGACCTGGGATTGATTGGCTTTCTGAGAAAGCAATTATTTTGAAAACCAAAATCCCAGATTCATTTCACGATTGATTATCAAAATATAAATTATGAAACAGCGGTGAGATAAACATACGACGCTATCCGAAGCGGTTGGATTTTCTGGGGCAATTGATGAAGTGGCCATTTTAAGATTATCACCGAACAGTGAATAAAACCAACGGATATACCAGGGTGTCAGCGTTTTTAAAACTTTTGGAGCGATATTTTGCACTTCGCGCCTTATTATTTTCGGTGCGACTTGTTCGATTTCACGCTTTATGAAGTGTGGTGCCAATTGCTCGATTTTCTTCATAAAGATTTTTTATTCTGTTTTGTTTGAGGTACTTCACTCAAAAATTTCGTTCAATTGGAATTCATTTTGCTCCAAATGGCAATTCCACTTTTCAACCGTTCTCGCTGACGATTTGAATAAGACTGAAACATTTGGTTGTGTGGTATTAGTGAACTCTCTGAATTGATTCGCTGTAGGTTCAATGTGCACAAGCACATACAGAAAACCCTGTTTATAATTAAAACGCACGGTACGTTTTCCACTATTGGGTGGTAATTTTAATGGTAAAATGTGAATTTAGTTTGACAGGTTTTAATGTATATGCAAAATGATTTTGATTTCAGATTTTCGTAGCAACCGCGACAATTGCGATTTATTGTAAATAAAAATATTTCTGGACGCTCATTGTAAACATCATTCAATTGTAAATTGAATTGTTGGCATATTTATTGCTTTGAATACTAGTTTATATTGTTGTTCAATTTTAAAAAGGAGTGCTATAAATATAAAGTTTCAATGAACTATTTTTTGAATTGTTTGAGTTTGGAGAAAAAGCAAAGAAAAAGTAACAGATTTCTGCTAAATTTTTAATCTCATTATATTTGGTGTGATTTTGTGGTTCATACTAAAATATATTGAAAAAAGATGTTATTTCATATATTTCAAATCGATAAATTTGCCTATTCCAGTCACTGGAATGTATGAATTGCAGCTAACTTAACTTCTATTGTCAATGTACTACATTATGAATGGATATACATATTTTGATCCTTGTGATTCAGTTCTTTTTACAAAAAATAATATCCAATAAAACTAAAATTTGCGTAAAAATATTCTTTCTCACCAAAAATTCAGTAAAAATAGTAAAATTCCATGAAAATCAACGGAAATGATTTGAATAAATGAAGTCACTGCAGAATGTATTCGGAACAACTTCATGATGAACAAATAGAAATACATACACACACGAACATACACATATACGTACATATTCTGTACAGCTGCGCCTACTGTATGTTCAAAATGATTTCTGTTGCATTTATAAATTGAACAACAACCACAAGAAACACATCGCGCGAAAAAAAATCATCACTAACTGACGATACAAATAACTGCTCATTGCTGCTATTGTGTTTTAAACTAACATCGAAAAAATGGCATCACATTTTGAACAAACGACAAGATTTTCCGAAAATAATGGTAAGTTTACATATTTTAAAAAATCGTAACATTTTTTTACACCGAATTAACAAAACACAGTTATTTGACATAACATATTTTGTAATTATGCCACTTATCGTTTCTTTTTTTTTGTTTACAGCGACGACATTTGAAGGAAAACGTGTTGTTTTCAAGACCATGAATAATCGTGAAAATATACAAAAAGAATTTGCTCTGGGCGATATCACTAACGGTTTGATTATTTTTCTATTATTTATCCATTATGTTCTATTATGATTTTTCTTTTCTGATTCACACCCAGGATATCACAAATGCATGCCATCAGCAACACCTGTATTCAGTAAAAAACAGAAGGCGATGGTAAAAAAAGCTGATATTGATACAGAACCACATGAAATGGTTATTGCTTCTCGAAAACCGGTTGACGTTTTTAACATTTGGGTTGATAGGGATGCATTAAGTGATGACGATGTCGATAGATTGATTGAACTAGATATCATTGCCCAGAATATGAATCCATATGATGAAATAGAACCACAAACATCAATCATTGAAGACGACGTGCCAGAAACAATCGGTACATTTAAAATTTTTGTCTGTAAATGTTGTTTTCATTTTAATACATTTTCCTGGTTATCTTTTTCAGAAACGTCAGAATGTTTGGAACAAGCACCAGATGACAATTCTTTTGACGAGCTTACACAGCCAAAATTATTATATTTACCACCACCAACATCAGAATGCATTTACAATGACCCAGAATTGTCAGAATTAAATCATTCAGTGTTCGACTTGTCAGCAGACAGCGAAGATCTATTCGACGAGTAAAATTCATGCGTTAACATTTGAAGGTGATTTCCAAAAATTGAAGTAATTTTGAGCTGTGTAAAAGAATATTAGAAATAAAAAAAAAAATGGTAAATAAAGTTGAATAAAGTTCGTGGCAAATATGTCATTTAGCAAGGAGACAAACATGTTTTCATTTTCTTAATGAAACGAATCAATTTTTTTTTTTGATAAATGACTTGTAAAAAAGATGACCTAATTATATAGATTTTTCCGTTTTAATCTGAACAGAGTTGAATACTTGTGAGGGAAATTAAAGATACGAGATTTATTCATTCGATTTTGTTCTATTATTACATTTTTTATTCATTATTGCGTCTATGCAACATTGTATATAAGTTGGAATTACTCAATCATGTTATTTCCTAAATGGTCATTCTGCTTCATTTTTTCAAAAAAAAAAAGAAACAAATAAATAAATTTGGAAAAGCCCATTTAAATTTAAATTTAAAGCAAGCAAAGAATTATTCACTGGAAAAGGGGCAATTTTTTTTAAATATTACATACAATTGAATGTATCAGAAAACAATATTGTTGTCATATTATGTCTTCATTTCATCGATTAAATACAAAAAAAAATTAGCATTACATAGAAACCCATTAAAGAAGTCTTTTGATCTTAAATTTAACTGAATGACTCTTAGTTAGTTTTATAGTAATTCAATCGAGATTGTTCTGGGTGGAAAATCTGTATTTGTCTGTGACTCGTTTTCCATTCGAATGGGTCAAATAAAACTAGATATAATCTCAACTGATTCGAATTATTTGTGTCTTTTTTTTTTTCATCCCAGAGTCAGATCACGAGAATACAAAAAAATAAAATAAAACTATGAATTGTGCACTTGAATTGTGCTTGGTTAAATAAAGCAGTAAAAAGTGTGACACATTGATTGCTTAGAATGTTTTGCGATGTATAACACGATGTCCCTCTTCGTCAAATTCGCGTTTTGATACCCACATCTTCTTGAATGTATCTAATGATGCTAGAATCGATCCACCCATCCATGTAGAATATAAACGTTCTTGAGGTGCTGCGATCTATTTAAAAAAAAAAAACCAGTTAATTTAAAATATTTTTAAAATCATGGTTATGGGCGAAGAAAATTGTAATACAAACCCTTATCTTTAATTCTTTCGGTAGATTTTTCTTCAATTCTAACAGCAAACGATCACCGAATCCTTTTAATAGGGTCGAACCACCGGATAATACAA